CAGACACGGATCCAGGCATTGCCCAATACACACCCCACCAACTAATAATATTTGACCAAATCCTCCAAATTAATGGACAAGACAGCAGCACATGATTTATATCTTCTTTGTCTCTCACTTGGTTGCTTATGGCGTATTTGTGTCACAAATACTAGTTTGATCAAGGACCTCTATTTTCAAGAAATAGGTATTAGATATAACGGTGATATTATGAGCAATATTACTAACTAATGAGAAATTTTATATTGTATTTTTTTTTTAGTGAGAATTTTGTAGAGCTTATATAGTTAAATTAGTGTGAGGCAAAAGGCATATATCTAATCATATTTAAAATATTTTATTGGTAAATAATACTACGTAAAATGATGTATTATCTCATTCAATATTTGTCCCTTCTGAAATGAAGTTTGTCAACCTAAGTCCTTCTCCCACACCAGAATCAAAGTGGCCACATCTTGTATGGAGCTTATTAACAAAACTATATCTTTGGATTGCAAGGGTAAATTACACCCCGTTCTTGTGTGTGAAGATCTTTCAGCAGATTTTAGTAGCTTGAAGCGCAATGGTTTGGAAGAGTGCAGCTCCAATGAAATCTATGGCAGTGTTGTGGAAAGATCAAGTCCAGAGGAGTGTTCTAGAGAGAAGGAGGCTGACCATGTGATGGAGGTAAACACAGTTGTTGAGGAGTCGAAGTGGGATGAAGGGTTCATCAGAGAAGAGGAAGTATGTACCAAGGAGGTAGATCAGAGGTCAGGGTCTAATGATTGTCATTTGGGCGAGGAGGTAAACATAGTTATCGAGGAGACCATATTGGAGGAGTTAGTACACAGTCCTAATTTTGTTGTTGAGCAAGTATTTATTCCTGGTTTTATTAAAAGCTTCAGTGGATCTCGTGATGGAAGTGGGTTTGGTATCAATCTTGAAGTGGATTTGGCACAAGCTCTTAGTAAGAATCTATATAAGAAGGGTCTTCTGAGCCTTAATCAGTCGGGCTTAGTTAGGCAACCTGCTTCTGTCCCAAAACTCCTGTGGAATGAGAAGAGGAAAAGAAAGAAAAAGGTTCAACTTGAGGGGTTCACCGACTTTGCTAGACTTCATGGGCACCAAGCTGCAGCAGTCAGCAAGCACACTTCTAGGTCTGTCATTTTCAGACCAGCTGCAGCTGCGATTGCACATTCAGATCTGTCTGAGGGTGTTACTAGTCCGAACAATCTTCTCCTCAATGAAGTTAAAGCCACTATACAATTAGGTAAATATCTTGGCATCAATTTCAATGGGAAAGAAGATGATGTGCTAAACAAGATTATTGAGCTAAAGCTAAAGGACAAAGAGAGATCCAAATATGAGGGTTTGGTCTTAAAAGGTTAAAGGATGGCTTCAAGTAAGCTTAGCTGGAGTTTTCAGTGGGTATAAGCTTTGTTAGCTAGTTTTTGGGTTTTGGCTTCAAGTGTTTGTGGTCTTATAAGCTAGTGTTGGTTTCTCACCAACACTATGCTCGGTTTATTTTCTTGTCTTTTTTTCTTTCTCTTCCTTGTTAATGTTATCTCATATGTAATGTATGTTTTCTTCATCAATAAAGGATTTTCTTTGCTGATCAAAGAAAAAAAAAAAAACTCTTGAGAAACCTCATTTGTGATAGGTCAGGGTTTATAACTCAATTTGGCCAATTAAGCTAATTTGATTTTGAGTAATGTTATACGAATAAATAAATTTTACAATTTTTTTAAGTATTATTATGGCAACTCTATTTCAAATAATGAAATTCATTACTGTAAGTCACATTAGTGAGCAATTTTTTTTAAAAAAAAATTAATTAATTAATTTGTAGCATTTTCTTTTGATTTTATTTCACTTGGATTTGGTCCCTACTATAGGAAACTGAGGTATGGATGTATTTAAATGTCTAATATTGTTTTTAACATAAAAATCGAAACATTAACATTGTGTAATATCATTTTATATTTTACATTTTGAAAATGAAGCACTTTATAACCATTATAAGACTAAATTGATTGATATGAATACAAGTATATCATTTTTGTTAGAAAATAAATAATTAGAGTAAAAACAAAGAGATGACACGATACTGAAAGATGGATTTACATTAATATAGATATATATATATATACACACGAACATGTGGGTATATTGAATATAACAATAATTGCAATGCCTTAGTTTGGTCCTAGTTCATATATGCATAAACCATTTCCCAAAGTAATAAAAGTTTGATATCTTATTCACAACTTAAAATTGATATGTTCGGTTTCCACCAAAATGTTATTGCGTTTGTTTTAAGAAAAACATAAACAAAAACTAACAAACAAAGAAAAAGAACAGAATTAACTAAGTCCACTAAAACACATGTAAATCATTTGATTTGATGCTTAGTTTCTACTGGTTTCTTTACCTTGAAATTACAGTAAAAATCTGAGCTCTACAGCAATGTTACAAATTTTTTTAAAAAATAAAAATATATTCAAAAATTATCCAAAATTTAAATTGTGCGGATCAGATTTATTGTTGATAAGCGCTCACAAAAAATTAAGTTCAATATCTACCATACATCCACTTTGTGAATAAATTTATGGGTATTTTTTTTCTGGGTGTGCATCTTTTATGCTTTCAATAAGGACCCTATTTTCACTATATATGCAAATGAACTAAAAGTATAAAACTGAACTACTATGTCCCCTTAATAAAATAAAATAAAAAGAGCTCCACACCTTAGGTTACTGTATGTGGCAAAAAAAACTATCTGGTGCTCCGAGAACACTATATGCCTGTGTGTCTAGCCAGCCAGATTTTTTTATCATACCTTATTGTTCCCATTTTTTTAGATTCATAGCTCATTATTGGATAGACACATTGTCACTTTGAAATTTTTGAAGGACCAAATAATTACTCGTGAAAAAATATCATCCACATCACAAAATTTAAAATAAAAATTTATTAAAAGATAAATTAAAAAAAATAAAACAGTTGGATAAAATTAATTGTTTTTTTTTTCTGGTAATTAACAGTTGCATAGTATACATAGGCCCCGTTTGGTGTAACTGTTAAAATAATTTATAGATTATAACTTAACAGATTATAGATTATGACTTTAATCAGAAGTTGTTAATCTATTTGGTGTAGCTGTTGGATTATAGATTTAAGTTGCTGAGTAGTGTTTGTTAACTAAGCTGTGAAATAACTTTTTCAATTAATTTTTATTTTTTGTTTGTCTACATTTCTCATAAAAAATAATAGTAATAATCTATAGTCTATTTGAATCTTTTTCTATTTTTAAAAAAATAAAAAATAAAAAAACCTAACAGTATAATCATAAATTAACATGATAATCAAAAGTAAGGGATAAACAGCTTCTCAGAATCAACTTTTTGAATTAAAATAAACTGTTAAAATCAGAAACGGTTAGAAATAAGTTTAACCAAATAATCCAATAATAATACTGAATTGGGCGCTTTTCTATGGTGGGCACCGCCAGACGAGTTAAAGACATTCTTGCCCCTACTACAGTATTTAGGAAAAGTAATTTTGACTTTTCACTACTAAGGTTTCAGTAAGAGAATTCCCTTTTTACTGTCCACATAATGACTTTAACTGCAAAGAGAAATTGAGTAGCGGGCCTCAAAATACAATAAATTCAGATTTTATAATCAGTGTAGTTTTTTTTTATTAAAAAAATAAATAAATAAATCAAATCAAAGAAAATTTGTATAAAAACATTAACAATTAAATTTATAATTTCTTTTGATTAATATGTAAATATTTTGTAAACTTTTCACTTATATGTAATTTTCCCTTTTATAATTAGGATACATTTTGATCACATCAACAATATTACTTGTACAAAAAAATTATTATAAGAGTCAAATTTATTTTAAATATAATAAAAATCACACTCAATAAATTTGGATTTCACTTTTGCCTTTGGTCTTGGGGTGTTAATTTAATTGACTGGTAGTTAACAATTCCTAAATGTAGGAATTTTTAGTGATCATCATCGTCTATATTGCATAAGGACTGTTTTCTTTTATCTTCTTGTTGGTTTCTCACCATTTGTTGGTTTGGTGCTATCAAATGATTGTTTAAGCTTCTCGGTGTCAACTTAACCGGGATCGTTTAATTTCACATTGATGGCCTATGCACCTTTCTACCTTTACTGATGTATGCTCTCCTTCCTTTGTAAGTTTTATTCATCAATAAAAGTTCTCTTTTGTTGATCCAAAAAAAAAAAAAAAAAAAAAACTTGACAATATATTTGGGCTCAGTAGGCCCATTAGGCACTCACCTTGATAATTCAAATTGTTTATCTTCTAAGATCTTCCGAGCCGATCATCTATATAAATAATTATATTATTTAAACAATTAATAATGTGATCAAAACCATTTGCTATCCAAAAAAAAAGACGGTAAATATGGTTTGAAGAATAGACCATCCAACATTTTGAAGACAATTATAATATGATCTTGGGTTTATGATTATCCAATCAATCTAATTTTTTACATTGATAATCTACTAAAAAAAGTCTTATAAAAAATTTAGACCAATAAAATGAGTCCCAATCCCACTAAAATACCCAACAACATGGAAAACATTAAGACGTTGGCCAAACATACTTGAGGATAAGATCCAAAATCTCAAGTTTGAGTCACTCTAATGAGTCACTAAAGATTTGTCTAATCATTAATTTCAGAATCCAAAAATTAGTCAAAATGCATATGAACTAGCCCGGATTTAAAATAAAATAAAATAAATTACAGGATCCATGGAAAAAATTGGAGTCCATTAGCATAATCTAGAAATCTAAGTTAGGGTTTGGGAAAAGGGGACACCAACCATATAGCTTTCAGTATTGGTAAAAAAAAGGGTAAGTATGAGTTGTTGAGAGACAAATGCACACGTTAAAAGCTTACACTAAAATTTCCTTTTCTTCCTCCAAAGAAAACTTGGGAAAAAGAAAGAGTAAAAAGGAATCAAAGTCTCAAACTTAATTACTTTTCTTTCCTTTCTTTCCCTCATCTTTTTCTCCCTTTCTCACCCTACCCCCACGTCCACAAATTAAAGAAAAGAAAACAAACACAAGCACACACATTCTCTCTCTCTCTCTCTCTCAATTAGTGTCATTTTCTCACATATACTTCACACAAATGAAACAACCATTCACTTCATAGTCATACCTTGTCATGTCTTCTCTCTCTGCCCTCAATCTCAAATCTCTGCAACTACTCCCTTTAAATTGATCATCAAATCCCCATACGACCCAGAAATCTCTTACCTGAAAATTCAAATCCCAGATCATCCAAAACTCCTCAACAAGCCTCTCTGATCCTTCTTGGTAAGCCCTGTTACGTACTGTTTGTTTCAACGACAACAAGAAATCCAAGAATAACAAGAGAACCAACAAGAACAAGAACAAGAAGAGAGCAGAGGAGATATAAAGAGTTCTAGAGGGCTTGTTTGTCTGGAGAAAGATGGAGTTATTTCCAGCACAACCAGACCTATCTCTACAAATCAGCCCTCCAAACAGCAAACCCACATCAGGTTGTAGGAGAGCAGGAGAAGAGATGGATTTGGGGTTCTGGAAGAGAGATTCTAGAAACTCCATCTCTTCAATGGTGAAAGCCGATACCTGTTTCGAGCTCTCTCTCTCCAATCCTAGGGCTTCTGAGCCCAACTCCGATCATTTTCGCAGCTTCCAAAACCACAACCACAACCAACACCATCACCACCACCACCACCAACAACCGCAACACCAACTGTTTCAACACCACCACCTCCAACAACAGCAACAAGGGTTTAACTGTAGCCCAGAGTTTGGTTTCTTGAGACCTATAAGAGGAATTCCAGTGTACCAAAACTCTCCTTCTTTTCCATTTTCTCAACAGTCTCTAGATAACACTACCAATCTATCATCTCCCACAATTGCTAGTACTACTACTACTAGTAGTACTCAAAGCGCCTTTCAGTCTCATCATCAAGGCCTAATGAGATCGAGGTTTTTGTCGAGGTTTCCTGCCAAACGGAGCATGAGAGCGCCTCGGATGCGATGGACTACTACCCTTCATGCTCGCTTTGTTCATGCTGTTGAGCTCTTGGGTGGTCATGAAAGTATGAATTCATTTTCTTATTTTGTTTCTTTTATTTTCCCCTTTTTGTGTATATGTATTTCTATCTTCTTACACCACTGCACAATATTTTTAGCTTCTCCATGAGTCAATTAATATAACTAAAATTACTAATCCAATTCTTGATTGTGTCTTTTTGGGGGTCTAGGAGCTACACCTAAGTCAGTTCTTGAACTCATGGATGTCAAAGATCTCACCTTGGCACATGTCAAATCCCATTTACAGGTATACGAATGAACCTGTCATTTCTTCATAATCTCAAGAGGGTTTCTTCATCTTCTTTTTTTTGTTGTTGATTTTATTAATGAAAAATAAAACATTACAGAAAGGGTTTCTTCCTCATAGACGTTTTACCTCGTACAAATCAAAGGAAAATTTTGAAATATTTTCTCAACTCATTATTTTCATGCTAATTGTACACCTTCCCATTATGGATTTTCAAAAATGGTGTCTTTGCTAGCTAAACTTGCATTTGAAAACCTTACATGCATTAAGGGAAGGTGTTAATAGTTAATACATAAATATCAAATTCCAATGTTTCCCGGCAGAGAGGTCTCCCAAATCCTTAGCACTTCTTTTTCTACTAGATCTGATGGTTCTGCAAGCTATTTACGCAGCTTTTTTGCTTGGAAGAGTGAACCATCCATATAAAAGAAAAAATCAACCACAGGAGAGAGAGAGAGAGAGAGAGAGAGAGAGTCATTCTTCGATATCAGAAAAATCAAGTAAGACAAAAGCCCAAGGAATTCAAACGAGTCACAGCCAAGCCGAGACTATTTTATATTGAGTTCATATTTATTTATTTTAAAATAATAGCAACACATTTTCTTCTTTTTCTGAGGGGAAGTAGCCTATGAAAAAGTACAGAACACTATCATTTCTCAATGATATCTATTTCTCTTGGGTTTGTTATAACCACACATCCATAACCATGGTTTACCACTGTTCATGCATAAGCATTCATACATGTATCTAATAAGCACAAACACAAAAAGTTCTTCATCATTTACTTTGTGTCCTTGCACTGTATCAGCCTATGTTTGTAGTATATATACACATACATATGTAAGCATCTCTCTCTCTCTCTCTCTCTCCCTCTCATACATAACAGTCTGGTAAGTGGTAACCCATATGTCTGTACCATATACTAGTGACCACAGTGTAATGCATTGTACTAATTTGGGATCACTTGAAAACACACTCTGTGCAGATGTATAGGACTGTGAAGACAACTGATCGAGCGGCAGCTTCTTCAGGTTAATCCCATTTTACAAACTTATATATGTCTAATTGTTGATTTATATATTGGATATAGAAACGCATAAATTTTAAATATCAGTCTATACTATCAGTCAAATGATATAAATATCAGTTGACAGAGACTGATAATTTAAAATCTTTAGAAATAATCTTAATATATGGCTTTTTGTATGTCTACTGTTGATTTATAAAAAATAATTTTAATATGTGGTCTTTATTTATGTTTACATAGGCCAATCAGAAGTCTATGAAAATGGGTCATCTGGAGATACTTCTGAGGATATGATGTTTGATGTTCAAAACCCAAGAAAGTCTGAAGTATCAATAGAACAAGGAAGACCAAATTTGAATCAAGATAAGGATTTTCATGGCCTTTGGAGCAACTCTTCAAGGTGAAGTCTATGCACTACTTTGGCTATTATTCTTCTTGGCTAATGAAAAACTAGCATTTTTTTTCAATATGCATGGATTAGGACTTTTTTTTTTTTTTGTTTGTTAAAAAAAACTTATTTGGTTGGTCTCCAAGAACATCAAAGAAAACATATGATCATGTTTTGGAACCTCAAATTATGTCATTCCAAGCTCACACCGTATGATTCCACTCTTTTTCCTTTTTCTTTTCTTTTTTTTTTTTTTTGATTGATAAATTCAGCTATAAAATTGAGTGTAATGTTTGATATATGTACTTCATCTTCGTTTTGTCATTGTTTTTTATTTCTTTTTAGAAAAATTGAAATTAGAGTAATGGTATATAGAAAAAAAAATACATAGGCCATGTTTGTTTTGTTTTCAGAAACTTGTTTCAGAAATTATTTTTTTAAATTAATTTGATGAAATAAATAAAAAAATCATAAACACTTATTAATTTTATATAATTTTATCTTCTAGGAGGCCAGGAATATTTTTTTTAATTTTAATTTTATCCTTTTGATATTTATTTTTATCAAATATGTTTCCAATTTTCAAAAAAAAAATTCTATTTTTTTGGGTCTAAAATTCTATAAAAAAAAAACACTGCATAAAATCTATACAGAATGATGTGATTGATTTATATAAAAAAAAAATACATAGGCCATGTTTGTTTTGTTTTCAGAAACTTGTTTCAGAAATTATTTTTTTTAAATTAATTTGATGAAATAAATAAAAAAATCATAAACACTTATTAATTTTATATAATTTTATCTTCTAGGAGGCCAGGAATATTTTTTAAAATTTTAATTTTATCCTTTTGATATTTATTTTTATCAAATATGTTTCCAATTTTCAAAAAAAAAAATCTATTTTTTTGGGTCTAAAATTCTATAAAAAAAAACACTGCATAAAATCTATACAGAATGATGTGATTGATTTATATAAAATAAAAAGATCTACCAAAATGACTTATTATTTAAAATGTTACTGTCACTGGTGAGATTTTTGCATAAAATTTATATTAGCAAATAATTTTCCATGAAATCAATGCTCTTTATCGTCGTCATTGTTGAGACTATAAAAGGGGTTAGCACACTAGAGATAAAAACTTTAGTAGGTGTTTGGATACTCCAAGTTAGACTTGATTCAGTTCTTTCTGTAAATAGTAATTGCTTTTATATTTCATTTTCACTGTTCTATTTCAATAAATTCTTTTTACCTTTGCTTTATAGCAGATTTTTACTAATTTGAAAGAAAAAATAAATGCAACATTTTAGCATGTTGACTTTACCTTTCAAAGAATCATGAATTTTAACCATTCTTTATCTTGTGTAATCATGCTGCATACCCAGAAAAATTATTGAAAATTGAAATATATGAATAAAATTAATTCCAAATGTGACTTACAATACACAAACTTTAAATCTACATTCTACACTTTTTTCTTTTTTTTTTTTTGTGAATAAAATTCTTATTAACTTTTCATGGTAACTAGATTTTTTTTTTTTTTTTTAATGCATAGGACACAGAATCTCTGTCTACGGATACAATATACATATCCAGACACATATAGGACCATTCATACATGCAAGAGATCACATAAAAAGAAGTAACCATCTGTCCACAACCAGTTCAAACACAAACTCCATCATCGTGGGTAATAATGTCTTTTCAAGTGGTTCTGAAAAGGAAGCAGCAAAGAAAGAACACTCTCTTCTACCATTCCATCACCTGGAAATTAATCTCATTTTGATAAATCAACCCAAAATTGGAGACATCTCTTTCCTTTGGATTTTGTGGGCTCAGATAATGCTCTCTCTATTTTAAATGGGTCCCACAACTAGGAAATTTAGTGTCAAAGTTAACCCTTATATATATATATATATATATGTTTGATGGACCCATTTGTAGAAAATCTAGGTGCCAAAGCTATATATCCTCTTGAAAATTCCTCCAAGTCTGTTTTTGTTATGGGTAATGGGTTATCACATGGGTTGTGTTTTCAGCTTTATTTCAGTCAGACACATAATGTAAAGTGAGGGATTTATATAAACAAGCCAGTAAAAGATTGCTTTCTTTTTTTCAGTTTTTTGCTTTTCTCATTCTGCATGCATGGCTTCCACTAAACTCAAATATTCTCTCTCATTATTGTATTGGTTTGTTTGTAGCAGGGAAGCTTGGTTGAATGGCAAACCAAGGGATTGTGGAGGGAGCATCACATCTCTTGAGGTACCCCCATCTTAACATTGACTGCATTCATCAAGATGGCATAGGATCCTCCGTCTTTAAATTTTTCTATTTCTTTGTTTTAAATTTTAATTTCATTGGATCATGTTTTGTGATTATCATATTTCGAATTTTTCAATGATCCAAGTAATTATCAGTGTTGTGAGATAGAGGAATACAAGAAAATTTAGAGACAAAGGACCTTGGCCCACCAAGATATATAGCTCTCTTTCAAAATTCTGTATGTGATATTTAGTTCCTATGATTATGCATTGTGTCTTGTAAAGTAGAAAGAGAGAAAAAAGAAGCTTTTGAAAAAGCTGTGTTGGTCATTTGCAATTTCAAGGGTCAATTTTGTCATAAGGCAAAAAAAGCAAATAATTATTCTCAAAGAAACAAATTTCAGTTCAAACAACTGTCTCAAGAGATATTGTATATATTTGATTTAAAAGAAAAACTATAATATTACAAAATTCTACTAAAATGATGGGGGTGATTTTTTCTTCCAACTAAAAGCTATATGAATGTTTCTGTGTAGACCCACTTAAAAACTATCTAGATGGAATATTTTGCTTTAAAGTGAAATATTTTGCTTTAAAGTGAAAGGTTTTAACTTAATAAAAATAAAAGAGATTCATTATTTAAATTTCTAAATTCATTCATAATGACATGGTCAGGAGTTGGGCCGCCTAATATATTATGCTTGTGATAAATCAAAAGTTAACACTTAACATGTCATATTATTATGAGTCAAATTGTGAAAAACGTTTTAGATATTTCAAACAATTTTATTATTTTAGCCTTTTCATTCTCACCAAAAATTCTATAACTTTTTTTTGTTTATAATTACTCATAGACACTTGAACACATATTTGATTGGTGACTAATAAATTATGATAATGGAGGAAGAATATTGTAAGGTTGGTTCACATGAGACATACTAACAATCTTTATAGTCATTCCTACCCTAGCTTTCTATTTTTTTTATCAGCAAAGAAGAAATTATATTAGTTACCGCTAGCTTTCTTTGTTAAATATTGTCTAATTCCCCGAGTCAAATGTCTTTTGATTCTCACATTCAACACACTTCTTATCTTCTGTTATTAAATTCTTTTCTTTTCTTTTCTTTTCCTTTTCTTTGCTTCTTTCAGAAGGACTTGGATCCAAAGTGCTTAAGCTATGAGAGAATATCATCAGATGTAAGCTCATCAAACCTTTCCGAGACAAGCCCCAAGAAGCCCAATCTAGAGTTCACCTTGGGCACACCACAGTGATTCATATATCTCTCTACTCATTTTGAAATCATTATATCTCTGAAGATAGAGGGAGAGGGGTGTTTTTGCTGGTGAAGAGAATCAGGTACCCACTGGGAAAATCAGTGAGAAAGTGAAAGAAAAGAAAAAGAAAAGGAAAAGAGAGCTAAAGAAAGACAAGCAGACAAGAAAGACAGAAAGCAGCAAAAGGAAAAGTGCGGGGAAGAAAAAAAAAAAAAAAAAGCATGTCCTCTATCCTTCCTATCAAGCTGTGAAATCCATATCAACATATTATATTCCTACGTAAATATGAAATCTAATTGATTTGGGTAATTTACATTTTGCCCTTTTATATTTAGCCATTTTTTTACTCTAGCCCGAAAATTTTTTCTTTTCTTTTGGCTTTTTATGTTTAAGTTTTTTTCAATTTACTTCACAAGTTAACTTATGTCCCAAATTAGATTGAAAAAAAAAAAAGTAACACGTTGACAACCAAGTGATATAAAAATATTTTTATTATATATATCATACACATCTAACATAAACTTAAATTTTAATATAATAATATATTTTTTTGTCAAGTAACAATTAACTTAATATTTTCTATTTAATTGTGAATACAAATTGTTTTTAGGAGTAAATTAGAAACGACCAAATATAAAAGTGTAATTTACGCAATTGACAAGATTTTAGGTTTGACCCAGTAGTCTTGTAATCACATCTTTAGAGTGTAGTGAGGAAAATGTTAGTAGTTTGAGCTAATGCAACAGTGACAACCCTCATAGTTGTAATCTAACAAATTAACATGCTACAATTTTAAATAAATAAATAAATAAATAAAAACACCCAATTGATTTTGTATGTTCTCTACACGTTTAGAGAGAGAGAGAGAGAGAGATTTTAACTATGTTAAAGTATCATGAGGTGATCCTTGGTAATTGTAATGAAGCACTTTACATTTAAGAAACAAAAGAACCATATTTTTACCAAACGAGTTGGAGCTCTCTCTCTCTCTATTCATTCCTAGGCATTGTCACATGTTTTTACACATTCCCAAACAATGGAAAAGAAAGAAGAAAGAAAAGATAACATGAACGAAAGAAACTGAAAAATGAGTACGTAAGGGAAAAAAGAAACAGAAAAATTACAAAAAGAAAAAGTGACCCCAATTCCAACTCTTCTTTGTGCCCATTTAATTATATATTTTGATTTCAAACTCTTTATGGTTTTGTTTGTGCAATTAAAATAGTGCTTTCATGGCACTACCTATCATTCATTCAACCAAGATTGGCTCCTCTAAATAAATCTAAAGTTAAATTGCAATCTTGAAATTTTTATTACAGTTCTTTTATTGGTATATAAAACATGACTTTTTTATATGATTGTGGGACTTACAAAATGATAAAACTATTTCATGTGAAAGAATTGTGTCTAGTTTTGTAATAAATTTTTGTGTTCCTAAATTTTTTCTTTTAATTAATTTTTTTAGATCAGCAAAAGAGAAATAATATTGCTACAGTTGAGAAGGGAAAATTACATTTTTGTCCTGAAACATTGTTAGGTGGTGCTTCAAAATAGTAATTATTGGTCTAAACTATGGAGCCTATCACATTTGTGTTAGAGTTATAGGAGGCTATTGATTAAGGCCCGGTTTGTTTGGGCGCCATCACAGTCCATGATAAACATTGCATTTAGCTCATATTTGTTTTGTTTGTGGCCTCCGAGTTGGTAGCCCACTCAGACTAGGATGGGCCTTGGGCGAGCAGATTGATATTCCGAGCGAAGAGGTGGTATTACAAAAATAGTTCGTCAGCTTAGTGAGTTGTCGGACGTCCGGCCGAACATCCGGCCGGTCAATCGGTCAACTAATTTTTATTTTATTTTTTTACTTGTGTGGATTTTTTTTTAAACGTTAATGTTTAATGTTTTGTATTTTTGTTAAGTAAAAATCATAATTTTATTTGTTTTATTATTTTATATTTATTTTATATAAAAATAATTTAACAATCTCGTCACTATCAATCATCTCACTAACAAAACAAACACAATTTTTCTAATCTCCTTGCTATGAAAACAAACACAATTTTACTAATCCCCTCACTAACAATCCCCTCACTATCAATCTCCTCCATTCTACATCTAAAAATAAAAGGGGCCTAAGTGTCGAACTTTTTTTTGATCAGCAAAACAAAAACTTCATTAATGAAAAAACATAATACATGCGAAATTACATCAACAAAGAGGCCTAAGTATCTAACTTGTAAGTGAAATGGAACAATACTCCAAAAGCATTGAATAATTTTCCGTTGGGAAGATGCATGCCAAAATGTTTTTTTTTTTTTTATGAGCAAAAAAAAATGATTTTATTAATGGAAAAATTGTTACAATAGTATTACTAACAAACAAATTGTATACAGAATGATGGGTCTTAGCCTTCGCTGGGCATCCCAATCTTGGGTTAAAATAGTTACAAAATGATAAAATAAGCTAAAAAGTTAATAAGACAAAATGTTACATTTAAACCATAATTATTGTATTTTTTCTCTCACAAAAATCAAAAAAGTCAAAAAGCACATCCCAAACGAGACTTTTTAGCCCAGACTAAAATAGCTAAAAGTCAAAAAAGCAATCCACATTCCAAACGAACCCTTAATATGATAGTTTCATTTAAAAATGCAAGGCTCATAATTATAAGCATAATTTACAAGTTTTGACTATCACATCATTCTAAAAATTAATTATGTATAAATATTCTAATTTAAAATTAAGAGAAAAGTGTGGGTTATAAGCTGATAGTGCTTATTATTTGCTCAGGTTTTTTTTTTTGTTTTTTGTTTTGTTTTTTTATTGGCTAAAGAAAATTATTTGCTCAGCTCTTTTGTAGACTGTAATTACCGATTGCCTCCAAAAGGGAACCTTTCTCTAGGAAGTGATTGTTCATTAATTACTAGGAAAAACCAAACAGAATGATGAAAATTATATTAAAGAAAAGCTTAGAGAAAATGAGGTAAGAATTGAACATGAAGTCCCTCAACTTAATTTTTTACCTATATGATTTGTTTGGAGAATCTTACAGAATGAACAACTTAAATTATCGAGATAAATTATGTGGTGGGCCCAACAATGTCCAACAATGCAGTTCAATTGAAAGCAACAAGTGGAGATAAACTTCTTCATTTTTCTGAATATTTTTTTGGATACGGAGCATTGTTGTCAAAGTTGTTGTAGCACACACGTAAAGCTTAAATCAGGGAATTACTAGTATACCCATAGAGGAAAATTTTAATTACTATACAATGTGCAAATGATGGCACACATTTTCCGACCATTATTCAGTATTACAGAGACAACTCATATGTTAAGGGAAGGCTTACCTAAATTTACTATTTGACAAAGAAACATGTAAACATCGATAGCCATAGCAGAGTGACCTTTGCTGGTTTTAGTACACTAGCACAAAATTTTGGGGGGCCTCTAAATTGACTCTTGTAGTTCTAGTTTTAGACTTTTAGTTTTGGTTGTTTGATAAAGCAACAGCCTAGGGTTAGGAAATTTCTAGCTCTTGTAACTTTTCTTTTTGGAGAGCAAAAGTGAAAAAAAGAAAAGTTCTATGTATATTGGTATAAAGAACTTTGAGGGAATAATTTTCTCTTTACTTTTCTTTTGCAGTGTTAGGCAGGGTTTTAAACAAAATGGGTATACAAAGTGTTTGGAAGAAAAGAAAATGTGGTGATTAAGAGGAAAATGGAGTGGTGTTTCCTTACTTTCTCTCTAGGGCAGGTGAGGATTTTGCAAAAAAGGAGTGAAAAAATGCTTACTCAACCTAGTGGGACATAAAATTTCCAATGCATTTGAAATCAAATGGAAACATGACTTTTTTTTTTTTGGGTGGGGGGCGGATAATTTGCTCATGAAATATGCCCAATTGCCCCCCTTCAATTTTAATTGGAGCAAATTGCTCCTTGAAAAAAAATTCAAAAGTACATTGGTCTCCTAAAATATCAATTGGAACAAATTGCTCCTGAATTTTTATTCAATTGTAGTATTGTCCTTGTGAACAAATTGATCTTTTAGGGGCATATTGTTCTCTTTTTTTCTTTTTCTTTTTTTTGAACAAGCAAAAGAAACTTTTTTTGTAATAATCAAAAGAAATACATCAATAAAGTGGGAGGGTGCGAAAAATATCACAACTAGCTCTATACTCCACCTAAGTTGGCACCATAGAACTAGCAAATCATCTACCAGAACACATCAAGGTTGGTGAGTAACCAATCAACAAGACAACACAAAATCTTTTAGCAAGCATATTATTCTTTTTAGTATCATTTAGGTATTCAATTTCAGTTTTTGAACTTTTTTTAGTGGCAATTTGCTCCCAAAAAAAATTATAGGAGAAATTACACTTTTCAAAGCTTGCTTGGAATTTTTTTGGGTCAAATTTTAAGATTTTTAATCAATTTTTTGGGTCATCAAGGTTTATCAAAAAAATAAAAAACACAAGATATTTTCACAAATTACAAATCATTTGATAAACCACTCTATAACATTTACATCTATTTTCATAACACCTTTCGCTCTAATTTCAATGCGAATCAATAAATCAGTACTAATTAGTATTTGTCTTACATTTTATTTGGACTTGAAATTTAAAAAAGAGAAAACAACATAAAATAAAATCTAATTATTTTTGCTTTCCTATTTCATTTATTTTTTTTATTTTATAAATCCATAATCCAAACATCATATTAAAGAAAATAAAAACCCACACTCATTTTAATAAATTCTTTCTTTTTTGTCTATAATATATAGTAGGGGTATGGTTAGGGACCATTACTGAACACAATAATATAGTGGATTTAGTCCACTTCATTACAAATGACATTGGATCTCTGCGCGGGCCATCTATTTAATTTGACTATAATGGGTCGATGGGCCAGTCATATTACGCCACGTCTCTTAATGGAGAAGTCATTGGTTTGCTTTGAGTACCGCATGGTATTCAATAATATTAGAACAAAATGCTTAGAGGTCTAAAAATTCTACCAAAAGTTTTACTAAATATCTTATATGGTGTCAGATCTATATGGGACTCATATTGTGTGGTTCCAACACCTATGTGAGACATTTGGTAAAACTTTTGGTAGAATATTTGGGATCTCTAACATTACTCATATTAGAATTAGTAAAAGTAATGAAATTCATAAATTTATATTAAATAATTAAAAATAATAAAAAAATATAAAAATTTGTGATTGGTAAAAAAACTGCTAAGTGACGTCTCAGGAGCAACAAATAATTTTTCCTCTAAATGCCGACTTCTGCTCCGCATCCGACCTTTTAGCAATTATTGCTGTATCA